TCTACATACCTGTCTTGATTACGTGACAAACGTGAAGATAAGGCTAGCAGGCTACTACTGAGAATCATTTTATTTCTCTCTCGCGCTCTCTCTCTTTCTTTCTTTTTTTTTAAACAGGTACTTGCCCGGCCCTTGTTTGGTTTCAAACGGTTGTTTGTGGTCGCCAAAAACACACAAGAGCCCCATCGCGATATTACATCCCGGCACTATACCAGACCGCCACTGCAGATATCAGGTCCATTATCGATTCCTACATACCACTTAACTTATCCATCCACTAACACTGCTACACCATCACCATCATCTCATCAACAAAAAATTCAACCGGCTTAACCTTGTATCCTTAATTAAATTACACACCTCCTTCTGCCCCTCAGCATTTGCGTTTGACTTTCTAGCTACCATTCACTTGAGACTAGACTTGTCGACTCTAAATCAGAGCTCTTTCGCCTGTCAGCCAAGATTTCCAGATCGTTTGTGAGCGACTGCTCCAATTGCTTTTTTTCTTCTGTCATTCGATTGCATCGGCCATTTCTATTTGCAAGTATCCTGTCTGCTGGCTCCGCTCATCGTTCCACGGCGTCTCATCTTGCATCTTGATACATACACAGCTTTGATCCTCTTTTCTTTCAATCATCACTTCATCTTAGGTACTTTCACACACCCCACAGATCTGAAGGTGTGCGACTTTCTGCCTAACCAAGCATCAAGCAGAAGATATCACATACATCTGCATGCACTGAGGAAAAGAGAGCTCGGAGCCCAACGATCTGACTACTTTGATCTCCCCCTACATACATTCATACATACCTGCCCTGGTCTGTAAATTTGAACTTTGGGGAAAATAAGCCGTTCCAGTCGAAACGAACGAGGAGAGAAAAGCAGGAACAGGTTCCGCATTGAACACGTGCCCGACCCTGCTCCCAAGCGCCTGAATCCGCGCAAACCACACCCTTGAACAGACATCCGGATCTGGATTCTGTCCGAACCATTTCAAGCTGAAGATTGATCGAGTGCACAATTACTTCGAACGAACACCGCTGTATCATCAAAAGAGATACGATATCAAGTAGCGAACTCGCCCGAGGACCCTTGGTTCTGAAAATAGCTCCAAGAGTAGCTCCATTTTTGATCAGATAAACAGACACTTGCTAGTTGTCGTTGGCTAAGACACTGCCGTCAAAAGCACTGTACTATTAGTCTACGGCTCGAACGATCCGTAGCTGTCCCGGTGCCATACTAGTCACCGCGCATCCGTTAGCTTTTCCAAAGGTATGTCATGTCCATGTAGCCATCTTTCACAAAATTCCACCACATGCGGAAGGCCTAGCAGCCAAAGAATAACGCCCCATCGGGGAAAGCGAGCCTGACCCGTCACCCTGTGCATGCCAGGCTTGTATGTAATGCTGGCTGGATTCTCGGCTGTAGTTTGGGAGTAAGCTCCTAGGCTCTACTTATCTAGCTGCAATCATGTTCTTTTTTTTTTTTTTTTTTTTT